TCCAAGTAAAGCTCCCGAAATAGGACCAACCCAATAAATCTAATTGGGCAAACAAAAAATTAAACAATTTGATAGAAATTTAAAAAGAAAAATAAATTAAAGATAAAAGAACATTATTTTTATATTTTATATTAACTATTGTTTGGATATTATACGTTTCATTCTTATACAAAATATTATATTCTACATAGTTTAATCTCGGAATGATATTGCCATTGAATTAAAACTGAAAAAAATCATCGATACGCGATGTTTAAATAAGTTGATATAGCGTTAAAAATAATTTATGCAACACGTGCATGGAAAGTGCCCCATTACGCACGCTACGCGTGCGTGATAGACCACTTTCCAGGCACTTGCAACATAAAATAGGGAGTGTAAGCCGTGTGTAAAGATGAAAATTCCCGGGTGCGGAGTTTACGCACGAGCCGAAGGCGAGCCTTCGGGAATTTTCATCTTACCTCACTTGTTACACAAATAACTATTTGTTATGTGTGCTACAATCGAGTTGCCTGTGCGTTCGTTAACGTAATCGGATTTCTATGTATCGTACATAATCTGATTGTGAGTTGATTATATGAAAAAATAAAATACACTATCATATTATAAAATCGGAGTCTGACAATCTTAGGAATAAATTTTCGTTCATATTATAATACAACAAGATTGTCATAAAACAGAATTTCCATTTTCAACTTACCCAATGATCCTTCCAAGCATTATTCCAAAATGCAGGACCAAATGTCCGCACTGGATTCATACTGCACCCTGTGTAAGGACCCTCAAAGGATAGAAAAGAATAAATTATTGACTTTTTCAATTACATATTTCACTGTAAAAAGATTATTGGTTAATTTTATGTACTTTGTTACTTTCCTTTCTTATAAAATGGCATCTGTATATAGGATAACAAATTTCATTGAAAATTATTGGACTGTATACAGAATATATTTTTTCCAGTAAAAGAATAATTAATGCATTGAAGTAATACTAATAATAAAGAAAATTTCGTTGTTTAAGAGTAATTTTTTTTTTACCGCCGCGAAGGAAAGGGTAGCGATCGAAAGGCCGAATT